GTTTTAGTTTGTTCAGACGGACGGCAGCGTTTACCTGCAGTGGACCACCATGGGCCCAGCGTCTGGGGGGTTACAGGCCTTGACTCTGCGTAGGAAAGCCAACGTGGGAGTGGCATATTCCGGGACTCCATGATCAGGCCAGGCCATGAACTGGAACTGTCGGACCTCCCTCTTCTCACTGGAACCGTTCTGTGGACACACCCACACAGACGGGTTGAGGCATTTTACAACAGCTGGTTCACACACTGACAGATGAGAGTCCACAGAAGACAAATGGACTCTGCACAGAACTTAGAGATTCCACTTGAAGAATGTCTTCACTGTACAGCGAAGTGTCCTAGGGAAAAGCCGTCCTGTCAGCCGAGGACAGAAGCCACTGTCACGCTATTCGACTAAGCCACTGTTTCCTCAGTTTCTTCATTCAACTTCAAATCCCTCTAAGACTCCACTGAATCCTTTAACACACAAAACCACCACAGAAGAAGAATTCACAGGTTTGTACAGCTCTGATACTGCTGCTGCCGCTGCTGCTGATGGCCGTGTCATTGAGCATCGGCCGTTTGTTCATGGTAGAAGCTTTTTTTGTGACATTTAAACACCAATGCAAAATAAAAAGACCAGAACCTGGTCATTCAGGTCTGGGTCAAGATGTGATGCGGTTTCTGTAGGGTTTTGGTCTTTTTTCAAATTCATTTTTTTTTAAACAAAAAACATATGCGGTGTGGACCACTTGTCCTCGTAGAGACATTTTTTGGAAAGAATGTTACCTTGGTGTAGGACAGTTGATTTTAATTGGAACATGTTTTTGAAAAAAAAATACTGCTGCTGTGGGAACACTTGGTCCTTGTGGGGACATTAGTAAAAAGTACTACTGTGGGGGACAGTTAGTACTAAGGAGGACTTTCGTTTTATTATTATTTTTGTGGGGACATTTCGTTCTTGTGGGAACAAAGTTTGTGTAATAATACTATTGTTGGGGGGGCACTTTGTACTACTGTATTTTCCGCACCTTTTCACATCCTTATATATTAACATATACTGTATAATTTCACATGTTTGTTATTTTCACACTGACAGCCGCTAGAGGGCACTCTAGCTGGCTGGTGTGACTTTTACTCTGGACTTGTAGTTCGGAAATTTCGAACATCAGTGTCCCAAATGATATCATATCTTAGATGTCATACAATCGATCATGTGATCACCTAAGAAAATAAAAGGTAAATAAGCAGCAATTATTATACCATTTCAGCCGACCCCCCCAGGTGACCCCTCCCTTCCCGACGTGGAGCCTGTCGTCACCACTGCCTGTTAGCAGTGCAGCGTTCCTATCTCACAGCAGCTCTGTGCTGCCGGGTGTGTGAAAAGTGTTGGCAGAGTGGAGACAGACGAGCCCTCCCTCAGCAGCTGAGTCACAGATCGATTTTTACTGTAACGTCTGGTCCATTATTGAAGGCTGACATTAGAAACCTCTGCCGCTCCTCGCTCTCCCTGGTCGTCTGAGTCCTCAGAACGCGGCCAAACGTCTAAGCGCCCACATGCTGGTCACCTCACAGTCGGTCAGTCGCCAACAACAACAGTCACGTACAGTCCTCACCTTATAGAGGGCGAAGGTGCGCACGTTGTACGTGGCCAACTCCACAGTGTCCAGCATGGTCACCTGAATCATCCCGTATGTCTCGGTGCCTCGACTGGGCCAGTACTGGTCACACTTCACCTGCGCACACACACACGTACACACACAAAGCAGATAACGTGTTACTTTTCAAGTGGCGAGAAGGTTCTGGAACATTTTCATTTTCTGGTCTGTTGGCAACAGTTCCTGTGGTTAGTGATGCAGAGAAAACCATTTTAAACATCGATCCATCAACCATCTCCCACAAACCAGAGGAGTCAGGAGTTGAGCTGGGCTCCGATCTTATGCTGATGACGTTGCCGTTTTCATGTTTTTGTTAAAATTCAATATTCACTTGGCCTGAAGATTCAATAATGTGAGTCAAAGAATTTAATGACAGATGGAATAATATCAAAGGCTTCTGATGGTGATCATTAAAACATGTTATCACTAGTTGAACTGTCTGATGGTAATTTGATCAGGTAAAATAAGCTTCGGTCCTGACTGAGTAAAAACCAAGTTTTTTTTCTTTTTCTTAAATGTTTTAATTAAACAAAAATAAATGTAACTTTCATAGGTCACTTTTGCCATTTGTCTCATTTCGATGCTCTTCTGTCTCCGTCTCCGTCCACAGCAGCTGAATGTCGACTCATGTCTAACTGGTCTCAGACTGTGTCTACTGTTTGTTTCTCGTCTTCTCGACTTAATGAACGGACCATAAAAGTCCCTGCAGTGATTTTCTCATCAAAAAGATTCAGAAATCAAAACAGTGTTGGTCGAATCAGAGGGTGTCGGTCCTCTGTGTGTCTCAGCTGAAAGGATGAGACGAGGACACAAACACGGACACACACATACACCCACACGTTTGGACGTCAGCGCCAACCAGAGCGTCATGGCCTCATGCTGCAGGAGTCGTCGTGACAGATGGTGTGATAACGCTTCAGAGACCTGGCTGCTGGTGTCCGTGGGGTGCGATTTGGTGAGGCCAATGGCGAGGCACAGGGTCACATGACCTCTGGTTGAATTAATGCGATGCACAAGTTAACTTGAAAAATGTGACTTAGATAGTAATTTTTCCTTTTTTTTTGCTAACGTTTATCTATTTTAGATCCTAGCCTACTGAATAACATTTAGTCTAACATTTGACCTAAAATAAGTGGAAGTTGTTCAAGTTAGATTTTTTCTTCTTTAAATCTTTGATAGCATCCACAGATCAAGAATTTTCACATCATCACTTCCTGCGGCGGAGATTCCAGCCCAAACTGCACACTCAGCTGAAATGCACTTATTCTATATGTATTTATGTAATTATTCAACGCTCTTTGACCCTGTGCTTTGAGCTGGTACTGTTCTATCATCAAAGTATCTGTTCTTTCTCATGGCGGCGGCTCACCCGTGATTTCTCCTCCAGCCTGGTCATCATAACGATGGTGCAGGTTCTCTGCTCCCACACCATCCTCCAGAAGTCAGTCAGCGTCTCCGGCAGCGGCCCCTGGGTGGCGATGTAAGCGTTCTGCTTCCTGTAGCCATCGATGTAGTTCCCGTTGATGTAGTCACTGCCCGGAACTCCTGATTGGACGGTAAGAAGTCAGAAGAGTAAAAATAAAAAAAGAGGGAAATTCCAGAAGTAATGAACACTTTAATAGATTTGATTCAAAGATTTGAAAGATTCAGTTACTACATATTCTACTGATATATACTGTAATAAAATAAACATTTGTCAAATATATTCATCCAAAGCAGTCCACCTGGACTATAGTCTTAAATGGGGCTATTCAATAAACATTATTTTAGGTCAGATGTTTTGTCAGATCTGAATTACCACAGCTTGACCTTCAGATTATTTTTTTCCCACATTATAACATCTGTCCGTTTGACCAAAGTGGGCACTGTGATGTAGCCTGTTCTAATTTTTAAGGCAAGAACGTAAATCAGACTGTTGTGATTCAAGGTTCTCGTCGAGTCCTGCAGCAGGAACCGTCTCTGGATCTCTGACTGTTGTTGTAATGAATTAATTTATTCCAGAGAGAACAATGAGAACTGAGTGTAAATATGGTTTTGAACCCTCACCGTCCACCGGCGTGAGGATGACCCTGGAGTGGTCGTAGGCGATCACATTTGCATAGCGGTTCTTGGGCTTGTTGACCTCCAGGTTGGAGTGCTCCCAGGTGAACTGCTGTCCAGGATCGATGGACTGAAAACACCAGGGGGAGGCAGGGTGGAGGAGGCGGGGGACACATAGAGGGAAGGATATATGGAGGCAGAGGGAGAGACAGCAGGAAACCATTTATTACAGCAGTTCAGATGCTGTTCACAACAAAGAAACGTCAGACGCTGCAGTCGTTTGTCAACACCCCCCTCCCGACCCCCCCGCAGCTGCTGGCTGTGGAATATGAAAAGGTGAACGTCCCTCAGTTCCACACTGGACCCCCCCCACGCCCCCGTCCTTTTATCCCCCCTAGTGTTTCACCTGCCACTGTCCAC